CTCCTTGGGTATATAGTGTCCACATGAATCATTACATAAATTTTTATACGTTATTATGTAACATTGCCGATTTACACATTAAAGAAAGGAAATACACTGAGATAGTAATTATTTCGCTATGAAGAAAAACGAGTTATATAAAAAACTAGAGAAGCTGAGGCGAGACCGGAGTAGAGAAGCGGCAAAGATAATCGAGAAATGTCACGCGATGGAACAAGCTACTCGCGAGGCTCTCAATACGATGGTAAACGAGAAACGGAAAAAAGGTATCAATATTATTTTTAAATATTATTCGTGTATGTACAAAGAATATCCGGTATGAGCAGATGATTAATTTTGCAAAAGCTGCCGAGATTAACGAGGAATCCCGTCAACTGAAGTTAATATTAACTAAGCAGAGAGACGAAGACGCTCAAAGGAAGATTCATCTGATTCAAGAAATCAAAGCGATCCAAACAATGCGATCGAGACAAATAAAGAGTTACAATCCTACGGAATCGAGTGGTTTAGGACTTCTATGTGAAATGTCCTTAACTGAGGTCCATTTAATGTCAATTTGCCGTCATGCGAAATAAATTTAACAAATCTGAGAGAAAGAATGAGAGAAATTGAATTTTTTTCATTACAGTTAAAAGAAGAATTGCTGTCTATGAAAATGAAGCGAAACGAGGAAGTCGAATGTCGCAATATCATTGTTCGAGGGGAACGCGAGAGAAGGAAGAACTTGATGAAAAATAATCAGCGGCTTCTTGAATGGCACAAAGCTAGGGAGCAATTTGAATAGAAAATTATGTTAATTACAACTTAAATGACATCTTAGCTTCTGCATGCAACTGAACTGACACATATTTAGACGAGCGACGCATTCTTAATGGACGAACATAGCAGCTATTACCAATTCTCACGAAATTGAATTTTCTGCAGGAATTGTTAAAGTCAATGAATCACGCAGAGAACTAAACAGAAGATATCATCCACGATGATTGATGATGATTGAAAATAGTATTATATTTTATTATGTGAACATCACTACCGTTACGGCTGTTTGTGTCGAAGTGTATGCAATTTAATTTTTATATAAAAATATCTTTTTTACACTTTTTGCTTCTTAATACGAGATCAATTGATCATATTATATATAAAATAACTATAACAGAAAACTGAATCACCTGAAATGTAAACGAAATAATCAATCACAGTCGAGATTGTGAGCAGCCACAGTTAAAATTAATTTCAACGCTGAAAGATAGGTTAAAATTCATTGGTCTTAAATTTTATTGTACATTTTTTATGTGCCACTAATACTTGGCAGTCGAATAAACCTGTTCAAACGAGAACGAAGAGCTCTTCGCTCTACATTCAGTTGCAATATGTCGCTCAAAGCGGGCGCACGTATCATATTTATTTTTATATATCCAAAGTAAAATTTTCTTGGAAATTAGATTTGTTCTAAATAGAAAATAAGGACAACAATAAATTTGAAGTAAGTAATATTAATACTTGTCATGTTCTTCGTTGCTGTTATAGAAATTGATTATTTTTAAATAATCTTAAATAGTCTTAAATATTCTTTTAAATATCTGAAATATTCTTGTGATTAATTGAGAGAGATTTTTAAATACATTTCAGCAAAATTTTATACTTTTATTAAATATGTCCACCAGGGTATTTTAAAGTTAAAGTATTATTAAAGATATTAATAAAACAATTCTTTATTTTAAAGTTGTAAAACGATAAAAAATTTAAGCAGATAAATTTTAAAACACTCAATATATAAATAAAAAATTTTGATTTCTATGAAAAGTATAAATATCGTTAAAGCCTTTTTACTGTACTCTCAATTTTTTGTTCAAATTTTTAACGCAATAATTTTAAACTTATCTTAAATACATATAACAACTCATGACAATAATAAATTATGAATATCGATCGATGCCTGAAGATTAAATGTAAGAAAATATAGTTATATTTTATAACTAGGTTTGAAATATAAAAAGTAATTGATAAAAGTAATTGTTAAATTCGTTACAGTTACTAAAAAAAAGTACCTACGTTACCCCACCAACACATAAACGTTATATAAGCGTTTCAGGAACGTTCGAACGTTTTCGTTCACCAATCGTGCAAATGTCCACCGAGTCAAACGTTTGCTCATCGTTTGGTTATTGCGAAAACGTTTTACGAACGTTTGTCACATAACGTTTCTTGGAAACGTGTTTCACAAAAAATAAAACATATAGGCCAGAATTACATCGAATCATACAAAACTGTTTCAGTCAAAAATCTTCAGACAAAAAAATTTTTAATTTTTATCTTAAAAATGTTAAGTCCGTGTCACATTACGGCTGCGTTCGGGGAGACGCTATTTAGCGCTATGAGCGTATGTACTCTGTCCTTGTTCAACGTTCGCAAGTAACAAGGATAGAGCACGCTCATAGCGCTAATATCTCCCCGAACGCAGCTTACGTATTGCGGATGCGGATCTTAATTCAGCCAATCAAAGACAGCCTCGGATCTGATTGGCTCAATTCCGATTCGCGATTTACAATTCGCAATACGTATAGTGTGGCATGGATACGCCCTCTATGCAGGGAGAAGAAGCAAGGTTTGGATCTCAACGTTTCTGAAACGTACATGCAACGTCTTTGAACTTCTTGTTCCACAAGACGTTCAGGTCGTTAGAGAAACAAACCATTCGGCAGGTTGACAAACGAAAAGCGGGTTTTAAACGTTTATATAACGTTTATGTGTTGGTGGGGTACCGTTACAGTTGCAGAGGAAGAAAAGGAACGACAGTACCAGTCCGTTACCAGTCCGTTACCACAAAAAGTAACTTGTAACAGTAACGGCGTCCTTCCATACCCTGATTGTAGCTGTATAGTTTGTAACCATAAGCTTTTTTTCGAATCAAAGTTGTCAAGAATATGGATTTCTTTAAACTATCAGATAAGATCGCAGGTAATAGCGGAAGAATTACTAAAATTGCTAGCCTATAATCTGAAGAGAATCACAAACATCCGGTAGCGGCATGTAATTTTCGACAACGAATCCCACACATATAGACACACAAGATATGAGAGTATAACTCGGAGTAATAATTAATCGTCTTATAGTATATTCGTGCTCGCGACTCGTATCCTTTGAATAGGCAAACTAATTTATTTATTTTTTTTTTAAAAAGTGCATTGCGTATCGTGTATTTGTCTTTAACTTTACGAATTTAATTAGCCAATCTTTACCTATAATTCTGAAATACTTAATGTTTTTTTATCCTAAAACATGCATCACACTCCCATACATCAAGGGCCTGAGTGAAAAAATAAGCAGAAAATTGAAAAAATAGACTTGACATCCGTCTTCACAGTTCCTAAGAAACTTGACACCCTAATCAAAAAAGGGAAAGACCAGCTAAATAGAGATAAGAAAACCTGCGTAGTATATTGTATAAAATGTAACGACTGTAACGCTTCCTACATTGGGCAAACAAAACGCCACTTGGAGACTCGAATTAAGGAACACAAAAATGATATTAAAAACACGCCAATAATCAATTGGTTGTTAGTAGACATCGAACAGATAATGAATATGAATTCAATTGGTCGGCCCCAATTATTCTACACAGCGAAAAAAATATTAGAAAGCGGGAGATAGCAGAGATGTTCTTCATCAAAAACACAACCAACACAATAAATTTACACACTGACACAGAGAACCTAAATGTATTATATGACTGTGCTATCAAAGCGCTGTAGGTCATGTTTGTCATCTGTTGTCCCTGGTTTTACCTATAATTTTAGTTCAAACCGGAATGTTATAGCACACGGACATGATATTTTAGTTAAAATCAATCTTCTACCAAATTCTTGCGTTGACAATGACATGCGTGGCTGCTAGAATTTATACTCCGTTAACGTCTATACACGAGGCAACTTCACATATATGTGCAATTTCTCCTTCTTTTTGTAACTCTACTATTGTAATTTAAAAAAAAAACTGTGACATGTTGGTTTGCAGTCCGTTTGATAAGGACCTGATATTTAGGTCGAAACGTCGTAACAGATGTAACTCCTCTGAAGAATATATTGCCAGTTAGATCAACAAGAAGTTCTTTATTATTAATTTTATAGTTAAGTTTATATATAAAAAGGTATTTTTAGTGATATTTACGCGTGCATGATTTTTTATTAAACAACAGGCATTAACATTTTATCGTGTCATTGGATTATGTAAAGCATACCGTTCGCGTGATCCATTTGCGGCGGTGATTGTCTGAAAAACAGTTTTTCTTCAATTACGTAAATAGTATTGATGTTGATCGAGGACTGGAATATTTGCTGCCAAGATATGTAGCTATCCGGCTCTTGCATCCTTAAACGATACATATTACATTATAATTGACTATTGATCAATAAAAACCATCAGAGACAGTCAAACCTTTGCCTATAATTTCAATGCTATGTATAAGTGGCTCTAATCTATAATTTAATTCGACCTTGAGTCTAGCGTTGGCCTTAACAGCATTAGCCTAGCAATATTTCCGTAATAACCTAATGTATACTTATATAGATAGAATATTATGAAAGACTTGCACTGTGGAATTGAAACTATGATATTATATACATAAACCCATAAATATTGTAGCGAGATAAATTGTTCCTTTTTATTATGTGTTTTTTATATATTTTAATAATGTATGCTTTAAACTGATTACACGTAACTACTAATTGATTATTATATATAAGCATTTCAGTTAACATAATAAAGTATAACATTAATTTGTCAGATATTTGGTGAATCAAACAGGTTTGTTTTGCAAACTATCTTGCGGATAATTTATATTGCATTGGAATGTCTGCTATATTTCATTATGACTTTTTGCAGTGCATGTATCTAGATATATACTTACCTATGTCTTGAAACTAAATGTATCTATGTAGATGTCTGTTGACTGCGTCTTGAAACTAAAAAGAAAAACATATCTTCTCTATTTTAGAAAGTTGAGCTATTTTTGATTATATTCTGTGTCCTTATATGCAACAATTACAAAATGTTTTTTAACTTTCTTCTTTTTATAGTTTGTCTATCGAGTTTTTACATTAAAACTTAATTTTTAATATATAAAAAATTAAGTTGCACAAAACTATATCGAGATATTCAACGAGTCAATACATGTAATCAGATGTTATTAAATTCTGAAATAAAAAATACATAAAATGCGCAAATACGTAAGATACAGAGCACTAAAAGTACACCTTTTATTATCGACTTCAGCAATTTATCTCATGTCATACCATAAGAATGTATGAAGAAATGTCAAGTAACTGTTATTACGTTGTATCAGGAACAATGGTTCTACAAACTTTATGATTTGAAGAGTTCGTATAGTCTACATGTCAATTATCAAGTTAGAGAGAGGGATCTCTAGAACTATATACGCAAGACATGAGTAATAGGTAGTCAGTAAGATGATAACAGTCGACTTTTATCCGCGTTCGTATGCACTTCGTTCTTCACATGTCTACTGCATATTTCTTGAAGGAATGAACTTTACGTCAAGCAAAAACTCTTCCGTCTTCTAGATCCGAGATATTTCCTTTTATTGCAACCGGTTTTACCGAGCTTCATTTAAGTTTGAGTAATCTTTTTTGGATATATTGGTTATATTGACTCAGTTGCGAGACTAAAGGTATTATACATTTCATAATTAACTTTTTTTTATGAACGTTATACTCTATCGTGTGTCTGGGTCTTGTATTATTTTTGCATTGTTGTTTAGAATAATTTACTTCTTCCAGTAATTATAAAGTGATTCTTTTAGTAGCGATCGAGTACTAAGAGCTTATCTCATATTTGATGTATCTTTATCTCTTAAGGTCGTTCTACATTAGTCGCATCTTAGCGTCGCAAGGGTCGTAGACTAGTTATAAGTCAACGCTGATTGGCCGAATCTATGATTTGCGACGCTTGCGACGCTGCGATACGGTCAATGTAGAACCAGCCTTATACATACTCGTTATACCTTGATTACTTGATTAATTGACATAAAGTAAATAATATAAAATAAAATAAATAAAAGTAAATAAGAATATTAAAATTGTTTTTGATTATTTTTAAAGAAAAAAATGCCAAAATTTTAGATTCCACTTTGGTTTCTTTATATTTAGCTGCTTTTCAGAAATGCAAATTTGACAATTAGCAAAATAAAACTAAACTTTGCTAATTGTAAAAAGTAATTCACAGATTCAATTATTAAAATTTTCTAGCCAGAATATTATCTCATAGTATAAATAAATAAAACTAATTATTTTAAAACTTTTTAGTGATATAATAATTAAAATTAAATTATAACAAATCTGTGCTTTTATTTTTTAATAAATTCACTTTCTGCACAATATATATAATTTGTTTATAATGCAATGATATTCTCTTGAATTTAAAGTTAGTGACATCGATCAATTGCATTTAGGATTTCACATTTACATCCGACAAAACCCGAGTATTTTCAGCAGAATGGTTGCAGATCAAAAGGTAAGTAGCTACTGAATATGAGTTTTCCTTACAACATAGCGTCAAATTCTGTTCTGTTGATACAAAATAGATCGATATACTAAAATATTTGTTGCTTTTATGTCGTTGAAAATTTTTGAAATACAATAAAAAAACTATTTGAGGCCTAGCAGGTATTGTGACGTACTCACAGTGTCGAAATGCGTAATGGATGTATTGATGAACAAGTAATAAATTATGTATTGATAAAGAAGTGCAAATAAAAGTTATTGTTAATATATGAGTAATGTGAAACGTGGCTTAAAGTTATAGAGGGCAAAGACGAATTATTAAAACATTTAACTTATTTGTAGACTTTTACCGTGGAAAATGGCGTTTACAAAGGAAAAGAGACGCATACATCGAATAAGTACAAAAGCCTCGGAGAACTAATGTGGATTAGCATGAAAAACCATAAGGATAAAATCGCACATGTAAGTCGACATTTACACGTGATATTAATACAAAATATTAAAAAAAACTCTTTTAATGTATAGCTAATAAATACGAAAGAGACATTTAACGAAAACATAAATCAGGATTTAAAAAATTAATATTAAAAACACAATAAAGGTGGGATTTATCGTTGTTGCGTTTTGATCAGTTTGTTTATACGATATATGTTAAATTATATAAAATTATTTCGAGATATTTTTTCGCAATAAATTTAGAGTAAAATATTCAGACACTATCACCCTGTCACGGCTCTAGGCCGGTATTCATAGTCGATTCTTATTTCAAAATCATCTTGAGTGTTGTCTTAAGAAGCTAATACAGCTCTGCGATTGGTTAAAAACACATTAAGAGTATACTTAAGATGATCTTAAATATAAGAACGGACTATGAATACCGGCCTTAGTCCTTTATTCTTTCAAATTTGTGCTTATCACATTTGAGCCATACGAATTTTACTAATTTGTATATAAAATTAATTTTATTAAAGGCATAAAATAAACAAATTAAAAGAAAATATACATATACATATATATATTGATATTCTAATGTTGGATACCAAGCACAATAATGGAAATATTCTTGAAAAATATAGTTTTAATATAGTTTGTAGCGATGATGATATGCATTTTTTATTATGCATATAGTGTTACTCTACGCAAATATTAACATATTAGAGAATATTTTACGTAATCTATTTACGTTAGCACAAACTTGTTAGATATACGAAGATAAGGACTGAAGTAATTAACGCAATGGCTTGTATTTAAATTAATCTTGTGATATTATCAATAAAAGTTAGCTATTAAATCTGTGATAAATAATTTTAATATTCTTCATGTAATTTAAACTTATTTCCATTAGTCTGTACTTTTATAACATTTTATAATATTTATCATACAAACAGATATTATTTAAATGTAAATATTAACTTGCCTTCAAATTGATTTAACAAGTAATTTTGTTAGCGTAACAAGCATTGATTCCAGAGGAATTTTATAATGTTTTAAAACCTGGAATGATATTTTAATTGTAAAATTAATTCTACAATAGACAATTAAGTTTTTGTTTTGTATAATAATAGTGTTGTAACTGGAATTTTATGTGTACAATAACAATATCATACAGTTGGACGCATGCACTGAAGAAAGGTTTACGTACGCGGAGTTTCAAGATAAAGTGACGAGATGTGCATTGTGGCTGCAAAAACAGGGAATCAAGTGTGGGGATGTCATTAGTGTATGCACGAGTAATCATCCCAACTCCATTGTGCCCTGTATTGCGGCAACTTATATCAACGCCATCTTTAACCCGTGGAATGAGGGCATGGATCTGCGTAAGATCTCCAGAACACCTAATTATTGTTGAATGTTCCTACTCTCTAAAAGTCAATCAGCGCAATGACGATAATCGCGAATAACTCACAATCAGCGCTATACACATAGTTATGCGAATCAGTGAATATTCACTGTTTTCAATGATAATCCACTGATTGGCTTTTAGAGAGTATACGTATTGCATTCGATTAAATTAGTGAATTAGATATAATTTCCGATACCAATGCATACAATTACAATTTGTCCTGTCTTGCGATAACCAGACATAATTTTTGTTATTTGATTGTACAACAATATTTACCATATATAGTGTTTACTTCTTTATTAATTGTGACGTATTTGTCATTAGCAACGGCACTGCACGTTTTGCAACTGACTACGCCAAAGGCGATCTTCTGCAGTGAGAAATCCGTGGATGTCGTCTTGAGGGCGTTAAAAGAGAAGAATTACAGTTCCACGGTGGTGGTTTTCGGCAAGCATGCCGACGCGGTTTCGTTCTCCGATATTCTGAAAAATTGCAACGATGAGGAAGCGGCAAATTTCCGTTACGTCGCGCTCGATGACATCAAGAAGACAGCATGTATCATGCATTCGTCGGGTACAACAGGAATGCCAAAAGGCGTTGAACTGTCTAACTACACTATGTTACTCATTAGCGAAGACAACAACTTGGATATGACTAACGTACCAACACTGTGGTTTTCATCTCTTTATTGGATCAGTGGAGTAATGTTGAACGTGAAAGCAATCACGCAGGGTGCCACAGTGATTCTTTATCCGGATTTCGACGAGGAGACGACCTGCCAATTGATTGAGAAATTTAAAGTAATATTATTTGACAAAATTTAATTTTTGTTACTATATACAGGGTGTACTAAAACCACCGGAGGTCCTCTTAATGACAGATTCCTTAGAACATTTCCAGACGAAAATCCTAATACAAAAGTGTCGAGGCTATAATAGTTTTTAAATTAGAAGCGATTTTTTTCCACAAATGATAGGACTGAAATTTCGCGCGCTCAGGCACGGCGAAATGACAAGTGATATTGTAAATTTATACAATAAACATAACATCATAAAAAGAGCGATATTCATAGGAGCACTTATATCATTTGTCATTTCGCCGTGCTTGAGCGCACCAAATTTCAGCCCTATCATTTGTGGAAAATAATCGCTTCTAATTTAAAAACTATTATAGCCTCGACACTTTTGTATTAGGATTTTCGTCTGGAAATGTTCTAAGGAATCTGTCATTAAGAGGACCTCCGGTGGTTTTAGTACACCCTGTATAAGAAAATTTTTTAAAAAATAATTAAAGTAGATTCTTCATTTTCTGATGACGGAAATGCTGACCCGCTAATTCACTTTTTGATGCAGATGATTCTTATAGCGTCAATAATTTAGTTTCTGCAGTCTCGAATCCTATGATAAAATTGAGTTGACCCTCTCCACAAGCAACTTGTAATATTTTTATATTGTACAATTTTATTTATAATAATAATTTCTACGAGTAATAATTTTTTTATTGTATAATATTTTTAATTTTCTGTCAAACTTGTTTACCGTCTAACGACCCACGTTTATGTATAAGGGTTTCTATCTTGATTGCCGTCATTGCAAGACAAATTGCTACTCCAAAAGAATGTAAAGTCGCGATTTCAATATCTATTTGTTTAAATTGCGTAGTTACATATAAAAATGCATCCAAACTTAAAAGTAAATTGTTTTTATCTAGGTAGCTGTTATGTTTCTTAGCTCGAGTATGATAAATCGATTTGTCAGGGCAGGATACGTAAAGAAATATTCATTACCATCTTTGAAAGTCATACTAGGCGGTGGCGCAATAATTAAGCCAAAGGTGCAGGAAGATTTAAAGTCTGCTTTACCGCACGTTCAAATATTGCAAGGTTATGGTAAATATCGTTATAATGCTGTGAAACATTCATATACATAGATTAATGTGTACTGTAAATTTCGATTATATCTACTGTTTGTGTCTTTAGGAATGACGGAACTTGGTGGTCTCGTAACATTGCAATTACCAAGTCACAAGAACGGATCTTGCGGAACGGTAACTAAGAATGTGCAAATAAAAATTGTCGACCAAGAAAGTGGGAAAGTACTTGGTCCGAATCAGTCGGGAGAAATATGGGTAAAATCTGCGATCATAATGAACGGTTATTATAGAAATCCAGAAGCAACCAAAAGTACGATTGATGAGGAAGGTACGCCCACCATAATACATATGTATGTCTGTTACAATTATAATAATTATAATAAAATAAAAAATATGAATTAATGATGCGTGCAAAATTAATAAATTGTATGTTATTAAAACTAAAAGACTGTAATTGACGATCATAAAAATTTAATATCGCAAAAAAAACTTGGAATATTTTTAGGCTGGCTACACTCGGGTGATATCGGTTATGTTGATGACGACGGAGAATTGTTCATTATTGACAGGATAAAAGAACTCATAAAATATAGAGGATATCAGATCTCACCCGGAGAAATCGAAGGTGTCTTGATAACGCATCCAGCAGTAATGGAAGCTGCAGTAATATCGATACCTCATGCATTAGACGACGAACATCCTCTCGCTTACATCACCAAAAAGCCTGGCGCCAAGGTACAATTTTTGTTGCAACACGATTAAGTTGTATAACGAGAGTTGGCAAAATAAAACTTGTCCATTAACAATAGATAAATTGCAAACAGATTTTACATATTCCGCGGAATATTGTTTTAAAAACCTAGTGAATAGAGAATATTCATATAAGAGCAGGAACATATATTCGCTAAAAGTCACCCAAACAGCAGACATGTAAAAAAAGTCTTTAAGTTTTTTAGACATACGTGTTGTATGGGCAATTAGTGGATTATCACTGAAAACAGTGAGTATTTACTGATTCACGGTAATAAATAATTCAGTGCTATACTTAGAACTGTTTTCAGTGATAATGCACTAATTGACTTTTAGAGAGTGAGATTGAGATCATTTAAGACAAATAGAAAGATTTGCAAGTTTATTCAGATATGGTGGAAGATATTTGTACTAGTTTAACAAGTACGGATTCGATAACTGTGAAGCAATCTCACTCGGTAAAAAAGATAATTTCAAGATAAAATGCAAATATTGTCTTTACGCTTTTGGTAACTTTCTATACTAAAATATATAATAAATCTTGTAAAACAAATGTTGGAACAAACAATATTAGTGCTTTCAAAATTTTAGTAGGTATAAAACTCGTAATTACATTGTCAAGATTTTTTCACATTCATAAAATTGAATATGTAAGTTTTTGTGTTCTTGATTTATAAAATGTTAATTTTGTAATTATGTATTGCAACAAAGTATAGTTTTTTTACATATTTTACATACTACATTTCTTTCAATGCGGAGTGAAAAATATTAATTTTATAATTTAAAATATTCTTTCTTCTAACACTATTAAATTTTGTTTCTGCAGGAAACGGAGCAAGAACTGATAGATTTTGTGGCGAAAAATATGATGGATCATCACAAACTTCGGGCCGGAGTGGTATTTCTGGAGACATTTCCATATACAGGTTCAGGAAAAATTGCGAGAAAAGATTTGAAAGAAATGGCTAAAAAATTATTTAAGCAAACTAGTTAATTATATGTATTGGGTGAAGCAAAATAGCATATATAATTGTTGATTTTGAAAAAGATTTACTACTTTCTTAAATTCTACACTCATTGTCAGATGCAAAAAAGCGGTACACTAAAAATTTGGGAAAAATTTACCAAATTTCAAGTGATCATAACTTGGTAAATAATAAAGATAAAAATAAATATAAAAATGGAAAATGAAGCTCCAAATGTCCTCTTTAAGAATATTTGAATGGTAATTATGCTCGGTTATTTGTTTCAAAATGGCGAATGATAAAGTGAGAGGATGCAAAATTGAGAATCGAACATCCGAGTTTGTGACGGTGCATGGCGTGAATCAGGTACCACAGCGTAATGTAACGAAGTGCACATGAAAGTATAGAGTGTTAGCTTTAAAATGCTTGTTTACCGAGCTCAATATGATTATTTTTCGCGGAGTTATGCACATTTAAAGAATAAAACGCTTTTTTTCTTCAAATGTGCAACTCCGCGAAAAATGTTCGTATTGTGCTCGGTAAACAAGCATTTTAAAGCTAACACTCTATACTTTCATGTGCACTTCGCTACATTATAACGCTGTGGTACCTGATTCACGCCATGCACCGTCACAAACTCGGATGTTCGATTCTCAATTTTGCATCCTCTCACTTTATCATTCGCCATTTTGAAACAAATAACCGAGCATAATTACCATTCAAATATTCTTAAAGAGGACATTTGGAGCTTCATTTTTCATTTTTATATTTATTTTTATCTTCATTATTTACCAAGTTATGATCACTTGAAATTTGGCAAATTTTTCCCAAATTTTTAGTGTACCGCTTTTTTTGCATCTGAGTGTACGAGTTTAGCGTAATTTGTTACAAACTCAATTTTTTTATTCTCTACCCCATGGAAAAAATATATTTTTAAATGTAGGTGAAAATATATGTAATATATTTCATTATTTTGTATATATATTTTATTTAAAAAATGATATATAATATTATTTATGTCAAAATTATACTAAAAATATATGTAAAATACATAAACATATATAAATTATATATTTATAATATGTCTCTGCATGTAACACATTTGTTTATATTTATATTATATTATGAATGATATGTGAAAAGGAAGATATGTGCTATTTAAGTATATACAAGTTTATTTCAAAATTAAAAAATATAAATATATGTATATATATTTGTACGTACGTACGTGCATACATACAGTTATTTCTTACGAATAGATATTACCAGGCATCAAATGGGGCAAATAGACTCTTTTCTGCCTGGTAAAAGAACTATCGAAATGGTTGATAAAGATAAATAATTTTCTTAGAATTTAGAATAAATCTAGTCTTAACAATAAGTTCTAGAAACAGTAATAGCATAGTTATATTTTAATGTAGAGGTTCTTACAAATAATTAAAATTGCTGTAATAGCAGGACTGCGTGATTTATTTAGCAAATTGTGTGTGAGATAAACTTTAAAATAACTATTTAATAAAATTTTGTTTTATGTCGATCATATTTGTTGAAAATGATAAATAAAACAAAATATACAATAAAATTGTGAATTGTTATAAAAGCCTAGCAAAATATATCTTACCAAGTAAATCGAGTACATAATCAATTGTCTTTAAAACTTCCACGTAACTCTGTCTCCATAAACGTTACAATCGACTGAAATAAACATCTCTGCTCTTATCAGAATAATATAAAGACAACAGAAAAGTATAACAATTATCTTATCTGAACTTCTAGAGTAAAGAGACATATAATAAACATTTTTTATGTGATTCTGCTGTAATATAGTGGTCCGGCTAAATGTAGAATTACGATCAAGTGGATAATGTTTATCAATTTTATCTACTTTAATAGTAAAACATAACAGCTAACCAAATTTAAGTTCAAATTTTCATAACTAAAGAGACTCTACTGATATTAAGGTAAATTATTATAATTATATAATTTATGCACATTATTTAGAATTAGTTGTTAATCTTTCGTTTCGCTAATACTGATTTTATGTTTAATTCTATTTACTTAAAAACTGCAACTGGTTTCAACTGGATTATTAAGATTTCAAAAACCATATAAATTTGAAAACTTGGATTATATAAAATATATTTTACGAACTATATTTACTTACTTATGACCTATTCTTATTAGTAGAAATATGTGGAATACTTATTATATTATTACATTTCATAAACAAGTTCATAAATAAGTTCAACTATGTAGCATACACTGACCGACAGTGAATCATTTCGCGAGGGAAAATTGTTGTTTCCCCACTCGTTGATAATGCGTCAATATACTAGAATGGAAAAACAAGTCACTTTCACTCTTGCGAAACGATTCATTGCCGATGACTATACATTTAAACATATCGCTAAAATGTTTCAATGATGTGCCATTATCTTATCACTCGCACATGATCTACATATGTATCAAAGGTGTAACCAAGATCTTCATTTATATACAGGATGTTAATTAATACCTGTTTCATCCCTTATTTGCTGATAGAGCGGACAAGGCTAAGTTGAAAAGTTCTGTACCATTTTGCAATTTTCGTAATAGTTAACAAGTTATTAATTATTAAAAATCACTGTTTTAGCCCGGCCTACCGCTCAATTCAAGCGCGCGACGAGATGCTGCCGTTCCGCAATCGGTGAGTGAGGAGTTGTTTATTATATGTAGCCGTTGCCATATGTTAAATAATTCCCCGCACGCCTAGACAACGTCAATCGCCCGATGGCGGCATCTCGCCGCGTACTTGAATTGGGCGGTAGGTCAAGCTAAGACAGCGATTTTTAATAATTTATAACTTGTTAAGTATTGGAAAAATTGCAAAATAGTACAGGATTTTCAACTCAGTCTAATCCGCTCTATCCGTAAATAAGAGGTGAAATGGGTATTACATAACACCCTGTATAAGGTACTCGTAGTCTTTTAATCGTCACTGTTTTTCGTATCATGAGTCGACGCGACTCAATTTTAGGGTCTCAAGGGACCTCAATAAAAAAATTAGTTTTCACCTTCTACTACGAGAACTCATGGGAACCAATAAAATTTTAATTTCAATATTTATTTAAAAAGTATATAAATTAAGTATCCCAAACTTTATTAAATAATACATTACTTGCGAGCAAGTTGCGTTAAAGTTTGAAAGAGAGAATACATCAAGTAATATAGAATTAGAAATAGATCGCCTCCGGTTATCTAGTTAAATAAAATTTTTCTTTAGATAATTGTTAGAAAATATGTGTGTTGTATAAAAGATATTACGATTGATTGATGTAATAATAGTGACACAGCAACATTCATGATTTGCGCGCTATGTGCGATCAAGCTTTACGTAATTTGTGAGGGAGGGAGATAGATATCTAAAGATACATAGCGATGAACAGTCAGCAATGCATGCAGTCTGCGGTTAGCAGCAGCCACAAGTGTACTACTACTCAATTACCTGCTGCATGTTTATTGAAAAACATCCTTCCGTTCATAAAATACGAAATCTTTTTCACTGCAACCGACGTTACTAATTTTTATCCAAATTTCTTCATCTTTTCTCATTGCACACCGGATATCTGGATATTTGTAATCGAAGGTACTGTGCATTTTACATAAGTTTAAATATGTTTTACATATAAACATAAAAAACTTTGTTATCTTTATTTATTATTTATTTATTTGTCTACATATTATATACCTATGTAATAGTATTTAATGTATTAAATTTGGCAGCCGCATGAAATTTGCTTTTAATAGTTATTTTTTAGTGTCTATTTTTGCTCATAACGATGTATCTTCTGAAATTTCTGTACCATTCTCTCATACGTAGACATACTATACATTGTAATAGTTAGACAAATAAATAATAAATAAATAACCGAGTAATTAAAATGTTATCTTCGATTATTGTTTATAAAATAAAAAAATGTCAAAGGTTAACTTTATTCTATTTCATCGTAATTAAATTCTTAGTTTCAAATTTGCAACCTCTCTGAAGATCAACTGCTATTATTAGAAGTGTGCCATTGAATCCGTTGTGTTTTATTACAAGTGCGTATTGTACACATATTTAAACTCTTACACGATGAATCAGTATTTACGCACACACGACTTAATGACCATAAAAGATTATAGATTCAACAACAAAACTATTATTGTTTTAGTTGCAAAATAAAATCTATTCGATGAATTATCAACAAATTTAACTGACATCATTAAAAAACTAATTTCAAATAATTATATTATTATCCATGTAATAACTAATAAGATATATTGATTTAAAACATTTTATTTTTTATAAGTTAAAGTGGAAAATTAATCAATTAAATAACATTGCAGAGCTGCACTTATCAGTGTACCATATCAGTGGCACTTTATTTAATAGAAGAGAGGAAAGTCCCCTATTGTAAGATAGGCTTCTAATATGAAATAGCAGGTTTTCAACAGCCAAATTTGATCCTCAAATCTTTTTTTGCAACGTTTACACGATCTAATGAATTTTCCACTAAATAAATTTTACTCGAAGGGCAATAAATTCATAATGAAGCCAACAGATGATGTCTATTAATTTAGAGGAAATTTCGCCATCTCATATTATGAGCCTATCTTATAATAGAAGAATTTCCTCTTTTAATTTCAGAAAAGGGATTAATTTACGTTTATACATATATGTATATTTTTATATACGCATACA